GAAGATGTGTTAGTACAAGTCGATAAATTCATTTATCCTGTGGATTTTATTGTCTTGGACACAGAACCTGTTGAAGCATGTAATTCATTTCCTGTTATTTTAGGACGTCCATTTCTTGCAACTTCTAATGCATTGATTAATTGTAGGAATGGACTGATGAAGCTATCATTTGGAAACATGACATTGGAGATGAATATTTTCAACATTTGCAAGCAACCTGGAGATGATAATGATTTACAAGAAGTAGATCATATTGATGAATTAGTTTATGATCAACTTGAATCTACTTTAAGTAAAAATGAATTGGATGAAACTGAAGATTTGCAAATGGTTTATTCTGAGGAAGAAATCACGGATGAAACAAGCACCGAAAATGTTGATGCGAATCTTTTATCAACAGTGACAATAGATTCGACACCCGACATCACACCAATGGATGATTACTTTCCTAACGAATCCTTACTTTCTCTTAGTCCAATGCCTTGGTATGATAAAAATATCAATTTTCTTGCTTTAGGAGATTTGCCAGCTGATTGGAGTACCCAAGACAAAGAAAAGTTTTTGAACGAAGTGAAGAGCTTTTATTGTGATGACCCTAACTTATTCAAATATTGTCCTGATCAAATATTTCAAAGATTCATTCCCGACAATGAGGTAAGTAGTGTCATTAAACTTTGTCATTCTGAAGCATGTGGAAGTTATTTCTCGTCAAAAAAGACTGCTGCAAAAATCTTTCAAAATGGATTTTATTGGCCCACCATGTTCAAGGACACGCATGCATTCTGCAAAACTTGTGAAAATTGTCAAAAGATTGATACTGGTCAAAAAGTTTTGTTTTATGATTCTCAACTCTATGCACTCCCTAAAGAGCTAAGATTAAGATGGACCAATCCTTATGGGGCCTGTGATATTGAGAATTCAATGAATGACAATGATTTTAAGGAAAATGGACATCGTTTGAAAGCTTACTTTGATAATTTTCCTAGTGAAAATGAATCAGCTGGTTTGAATGATCTTGTAGATAAAGGTTGATTATTTTGTTTTTCTCACATTTTTTTTTTATGTTTCTTTTTGAGTGATTTTTGCTAGTTTCTCTCACCCCGGTCAAATGGCGGATAACGGTACTCCGTGACTTAAGTCGGTTCTTTCAGTTTCCCACAATTACTGATATCTGTGTATATATCTGTGCAATTCTTTGAATCTCTCTTCCAATTCTCATTTGATAATGGACACTAATCTTGAAAAATTGAAAAAGTATTTTCCCGCTCTGCCTCAGAATGCGATTACAAAAATTTACCGTGCTAGATGTGCAAGATTGAGATTATTAATGAATCATGGAATTCCTGAAGATATTCGTTGGTTGATTGAAGCAAAGGTCCGATTATCAGGTGAGTCCTCTAACTTCTTCATTTCACACATGCCTGGAACAGGTAAAAGCACTTTTGCAAAGAAACGTCGTGCAAAACGACTAGAAGTCTGTCATCGATGTGCTAGATGGACTTGTAATACACAATGTCGTTCTTTAGGAATGGTATCTATAAACCGTGAAGATAAAATACAATTCATTAAGGATGGCCTGAGTAAGGAGTTTTTAGATAATCTTTTATTGACTCTTGAGACGCATCCTAGTGGAGATGTGCATCGTGCAATTCATGATTTATGGCCACTATTTCATAAAGAACATGATCGACTTAGTCCGATTATCAGGTGAGTCCTCTAATTTCTTTATTTCACACATGCCTGAAACAGGTAAAAGCACTTTTGCAAAGAAGCGTCGTGCAAAACGACTAGAAGTCTGTCATCGATGTGCTAGATGGACTTGTAATACACAATGTCGTTCTTTAGGAATGGTATCTATAAACCGTGAAGATAAAATACAATTCATTAAGGATGGCCTGAGTAAGGAGTCTTTAGATAATCTTTTATGGACTCTTGAGACGCATCCTAGTGGAGATGTGCATCGTGCAATTCATGATTTATGGCCACTATTTCATAAAGAACATGATCGACTTAGTCTTGGGAATCTGACTGAAAAAGACCCTGTTTGCCAGTTTTTAAGAAAACTGGATGGGAAGCCTATCCCCGACCCATAGAGGGCGTTTAAGTCGTTCTTGGACGTAAAACCAAGGGAACATGTGAGCCACAATCACAACTGCGATTTGAGTTTTAGTTTGTAAAAACTTGTGTCTTTTGCTTTCATTAATAGCATAATATTTGTGTTTTGTTATTTCTTATTTTTGTTTCAGTATGTTTCAGGCTAGTCAGTGTTCATTATTTCAGGTAATATCTTTTATACTCTATCTTTCTACCTTTAAACATTGAGGACAATGTCTTGTTTTAGTTGGGGGGAAAGGGTAGTAGTTGATAAAAAAAAAGTTGTTTTCCATTTCATAAAGCATGTGCAAAATTGTTGTTACTAGGATGGTAGAGTAAAGGAGCTATTTTGACTCTTGAGACGCATCTTAGTAACCATTCTTAACAAGGTCTATTATAATACTTCTTGAAATATTCAGGTTTACAAACTCTCGCATTGTTATCACTTAATTATGCTCATATACTTATTTAACATGTATTCTTAAACCTTAATTTACACACACACACACTTTAACATATGATTGTGGGTTGCATATTGGATTATTACATTATTTATGTTCTTTTGTTAAAGGTAACAACTAAGGAAAAGGGATAGTATATAATTAAAAAAAAGAAAAAAAAAGAAAAAAAAAAGAAGAAAAGAAGAAGAAGAAGAAGAAATGCTGATAATAAAAATGTAGATAAGTTTGGTTTCGTAGCCTCCCTAACCTAAACAATTAAGCCTGAAGGGGTGTTTTAACACCTAATACCCTAAAGTCAACTGACTTGGGAGCTATTGGCCCAACGCTTGTTACATGGGTTGAGGAGAAAAGCTTAAGGGAATCAAACATTGCACTATCTACATATCAATATCTGCGACCCGAGTTATTAAGCTCGTAGGGGTGTCTCAACACCTAATGCCCTAAGACCAACTGGTCTGGGAGTTATTAGCTGAAAACTTGTTACATGGGTTAAAGATGCATGGTGTTTTTAAATTATATGTATATATATTTAAAACAAAAACAAGAAGAAAAAAAAAACAAAAATAATAATCCCAACCCGAGGAAGTTAGAACAAAAATTTTGTTTTCTTCCAAGAAAAGCCCCATAATTATGTGTTGATACATTGAGCACAAAAGAAAGGTTTATGAATATCTTGTTAAGAGGTATTGAGCAGGTATATAAATTTAACGAGAGTTTGTTTATCTAGATAGATTAATGGAAGTTAAATGATGAATACCTTGCTTTATGGAATTTGCAAATTGTTTTTCTATTTTAACGCTTTGATTACTAGGGACTAGTAATAAGCTGGTTGGGGGGTGTGATTAGTACTTAAAAGTGCATTTTTATCATGGTTTTATATCATCATTTTGCACTTGAAGTATCAATAACTCCTTAACTAAAGCATGTTTTATAATAATATATCTAATAATATAAGAGACCTTTAATTTGTGGTAAATGTTCATTTTAAATGCAGGCCTATCACATAAATGAAAGGATTGATTGATGACTTTAAGAACTTAAATTGCAAGGGCAAAGAGATGACCAAAATTAGAAAAGAGATGTCGGTGCAATCCAAACCAGAACACTGTTTGATAATTGGGCCATATATGCAGCTATAGATCTCAGATTTAAGTCTACTTTATATGGATGGAAAGGTAAGCCATAGACCTACAACTTTCACATGGAGCCCAAGATCTAAAAAGGCCATTTTCAAGTCCAAATTATTGCAACAACAAAGAAGCCCGAAGTTGTCCTCCCGCCCGAGCACTGTTCAGTATTTTGGTCATATCTGGAGTTCTAGAAGTCCAAATGAGCTACATTTTTTACACAAGAAAGCTGAGACAATTACCTACAACTTTCATGTTTTCAAGTGGATCCAATTTGGACGTTATCAATGACGTTTTGGGCAGACAAGAGAAGATAAGGATTGTCACCAAGTCAAGAGTTGGCTACCCACTCATCAATTAGTCATCAAATCAATAGTTACCAATTTTGGCCTATAAAAGGAGGCATTTTCCATGCATTTAAGCATCTTGGTTTCTAGATCAAGATCATGCTCTTCCTTTCTCTCTTTGTATTTTTTGTAATGTTTATGCTTTGCTTTCATTAATATCAAGTTTATGCCTGTCAATTCCTTTCCTTTGCTTTGTTAACTCTTATCTTATTTATGTTTTTATTTTGTTTATTTATTTTGCTTTCTTTCATTATGTCTAGCTAAGTTTATTATGTCAAGGTGAAAAGGTTACACTAATGGTGTAAGAATAAGTATAGTGTAAACTCAATATGGACTTTAATGTTTGATACTAACATGTTTTGTATTTATTATCTTGTTCACTCTTTAATACTTTGCTTGTTAAATGATTAATCTTGATTTATGTTGTATAACACTTGGTACAACAAATGCTTGGCACTTTCATAGCCCATACTGTATGATATAACCGACACCTGAGCTATGAAAGGAACTTGATTTGTTGTTAACATAAGTTATAATCATGAATGTTTGACGAGATTTACAAGTATTAGCATTAATCGAATAAGATGACTAATGTAATCATGTTAACAATGTATAATCTGATTGGAACCTCCTTTGTGTGTGGTTTCCAATTGACTAATAAGAGTTTTTACTATACTTGTTTGACATACCATTAGTGGATCCTCTAACCTTGACATTTATCGTTACCGTTGTTAAATCTTTACGTTAATATTCCTTCTCAAAGTTCTCATCTTCTTGTCCTTCTTTTTCTTTATTATTATTATTATTATTGTTGTTGTTGTTGTTGTTGTTGTTGTTGTTGTTGTTATTGTTATTTATAATTTGTACAATTAGCCTCCCTGTGGTTCGACCCCGGTCTTGCCGGGTTATTTATTACTTCGACACTCCTGCACTTGGAAGAAGACATCAATCTTTTAGTCGTGTCAATCACGTCACCAACTTCCTTAACCTTCTAGCACTAGATAGGCATCAGCTCCCATACATGGTCTTATGACTTTGTGGAGACCTGTGTTTTTGGTAAACAGTCGTTTGGGGCTGGTCACTGCAACCCCCTTTGTGAGGAGGCACCCCTTCTCCTGAAGTTATGGGGCTATTTTGCCTAAAAACTAATCTTAATAATTTATTGGGTAGGATGGTGAAATTAACCAAGAGACAATCCATTTATTCTGAGAGGTCATAAGTTAACCCTATAAATAATATAAATATTGAAAGAGTAAATATTCACCCGCGAATATTTTTATTTTATATTATTTGATTTCAAAATTTTAAGCGATATGATCTAATAATCATTATAAATACAGACTTGTTATAAGATTAAAAGAACATTATCTAAACATTATCTAAAAATAGACTCAAACTAAAAATAGAAATAATTATCTATAAATTTAGAATTCTCTATGAATTTCTATATACTATATAGAAATAGAATACATAATTATCTATATAAGATAGACAAATAATAAGATAGACAAATAAAAAATATACAAATTTCTAATCTAATAAATAGATTAAGTGAAATATCAATATCTATGTATATTTTCTTTTTAATCATAATTAATCATAATCATTTCATTCGTGAGGAGCTGGATGAGAAGAAACTCTCATGTCCGGTTCTGCAGTAGAGATGGAATTGCGAAACAACCATCAACTATAACCCCAAAAGAACCAGATTCCGTAAACAACATAGAGGAAGAATGAAAGGAATATCTTCTCGAGGCAATCGTATTTGTTTCGGTAGATATGCTCTTCAGGCACTTGAACCTACTTGGATTACATCTAGACAAATAGAAGCAAGGTGTCGGGCAATGACACAAAATGTATGCTGCAGTGGAAAAATATGGGTATGTATCTTTCCCGACAAAATTTACCCTAAGACCCTCGGAAACACGTATGGGTTCGGGGAAGGAATCTCTTGAATATTGGGTATTTGTCGTTAAACTGGGTAGAATGATTTATGAAATCGGCGGGGTAGCAGAAAATATAGCAAGAAAGACTATTTCAATAGTAGTGTCCAAAATGGCTATATGAACTCAATTCATTATTTTGAGATAGGAATACAAAACTAAAAGAAAAGGGCCTTTGTTAGAAAAAAATTTGCAAGTTTCTTTTTTTTTTTAGATAAACAATATTTCTTTTTTTGCCCTTTTCCATTGAAATAACATATTAAAAAAAGAAAATGATCCAATCTTAGACCCATTTGAATGTAGCAGATAATAGCGGAGCTCGAGAATTGATGTGTATTTGAATCATAGGAACTAGTAATCGCTGATATGACCCTTCCCTATTTGGCCTGTTGTGGCGAGGAGGGATTCAAACCCCCGACACCGTGGTTCGTAGCCACATGCTCTAATCCTTTGAGCTACAGGCCCCACCTCTTGAATCATAGGAACTAGTAATCGCTGATATGACCCTTCCCTATTTGGCCTGTTGTGGCGAGGAGGGATTCAAACCCCCGACACCGTGGTTCGTAGCCACATGCTCTAATCCTTTGAGCTACAGGCCCCACCTCATCTCCACTGGATTTGCTCCCAGAATACCCTAAAAAAGTAACCTTTCCTCTCCACAACCATTTCATTTCAGGTTAAAAAGATGCGAAACTGCCTCTTTCTCTATAAAAACGGTGCATTCCGAGGTGTAAAGTGGGAGAGAGGGATTTCATAATTGGAGTTTTGAATAAGACGACCTTTTTATTTTTTTTCATATTGAAAAAATAATAACAATGAGAAGTGTTAAGCTATTTTTTCGTAGGACCTCCCCTACAATATCTTCACCACAATAAAGTTTAACCACTAAGTCCAAGATGGATTGGTGTGGTTTCTCTATGCCTAGGACACCTGAATATCAAACCATGAATGAAGAAAGGCATGAGAGAAAACCATATTAGCTAGTGATTGTGAGACTCCAATTCTTGACTGGAGGGGACACTAAAGGCCTCTACCCTTCCATCACTTGGATCGATAGAGAGGGAGGGTAGAGCTTTTGTTTTTTTTTCTTTTTTCATGTTGTCAAAGAGTTTAACAATAAAAATAGATGGCAAGTACCTGATCGAATTGATTGAGTCATGTAGGAACAAAAGAAATTTTCGGTGTTTATAGGTCACTCGAATAAATGCAGCAATTCATGAGAATGCAGTATCCTATAATAATAGTACATTAATAAATAATCTGTACAAGAGACAGTTGCTTCTTAATCGTAAAATACTTGCCCAACTAGCGATATTAAATAGGAATTGCCTTTATCTGATTTCTAGTGACATGATAAAATAAGGAGATTGGAAGGAATCTTTCAAAATGTTTGACTTTGACATGGAATTACTTGGAAAATGAATTCCGAGAAGGTAGAATAGAAAAAAGTATGATAAAATATGACCAAGTATTCAAACTAAACAAAAACATTCAATAAAAAAATATTTATTTTTTTATTTACTTTACCTAATTTTTTTACGACATGACAATCAAATCTGTATTCCTGGATTTTTCTCAAACAAAACATCAACTAACGTTTGAGTTCGGATTGAAATTTTAATTCCATTAAAGAGTAAGCTTATTTTTTTCTGGTTCTAAGACCCGTAGTTCGAGCGACCAACTCGTTTTTTTCAAATTGTCTTTCATTATTAAGAAAGGGTAATGAAGATAAAATACGAGCTTGTTTTATAGCAATGGTAATTAATCGTTGTTGTTTTGAAGTCAATCTATTCTCCCGTCTAGATAATATTTTTCCTTGTTCACTAATAAATTGACTAATTAAACTCATGTTTCTATAATCAATTTGATCCACCGAATGATAGTGCATAAAGCTGTTTGCAAGGGCCAACTTGATCCTCTTCCCCAGGGATCCCAAATGAGGGAACCCTAAGAGAGCCGCCAACTCCAACTATCATCCATATACGATCCATACTAGATCTGACTGACTGCCCATTATCATCCATATACAATCCATACTAGATCTGACTGACTGCCCATCCTCCCTCCTCTACATTTTGATAGCCTATTTTTTTCTCAGTAGAGTCTTTCAGTGGCTTGTTTCATTCCTTTTCCTTATTACTTAGAAAAAGTGAGCCATCGGTTTAGGTACAAGATACTATCATTATCGCCTAGACAATTAGACATCCAACTCATAATCGCAACAACCCAATTGCAAGAGCGGAGCTCTACCAACTGAGTTATACCCCCCCCGAGCCAAGTGGAGCATGTATGAAGGAGTCAAATGCTTTTTCTATTCTTTTCTTTTCTTTGGCGCAGCTGGGCCATACTAGATTTGAACTAGAGACCTCGCCCGTGAAGTAAAATCATCGCACTTGTGGGTCAAGTTCTAATTGTTCATGCCGACTCTGTAATACTAAGATTGGCTAAGCCCTATTTGGCCACTCCAGAAGAAACTGTTCATGGCCATTATAGGGAAATATTTTACGAAGGAGATACATTAGTTACATTTATATATGAAAAATCGAGATCTGGTGATATAACGCAGGGTCTTCCAAAAGTGGAACAGGTGTTAGAAGTGCGCTCAATTGATTCAATATCGATAAACCTAGAAAAGAGAGTGGAGAATTGGAACGAGTGTATAACAAGAATTGTTGGAATTCCTTGGGGATTCTTGATTGGTTTTAAGCTAACTATAGTGCAAAGTTGTATTTCCTTGGTTAATATGATCCAAAAGGTTTATCGATCCTAAGGGGTACAGATCCATAATAGACATATAGAAATTATTGTACACCAAATAACATCAAAATTCCTAGTTTTAGAGGATGGAATGTCTAATGTTTTTTTCACCCGGAGAACTAATTGGATTGTTGTGGGCTGAACAAGCGATGCACGCTTTGGAACCCCTATTAGGTTGTACTATTAAACCTAAATTGGGGTTATCCACTAAGAATTATGGTAGAGTAGTTTATGAATGTCGACGTGGTGGACTTGATTTTACCAAAGATGATGAGAACGTGAACTCCCAACTATTTATGCGTTGGAGAGATTGTTTCTTATTTTGTGCCGAAGCACTTTATAAAGCATAGGCTAAAACCGGTGAAATCAAAAGGCATTATTTAAATGCTACTATAGGTACATGTGAAGAAATGATCAAAAGGGCTGTATTTGCCAGAGAATTGGGAGTTCCTATCGTAATGCATGACTACTTAATAGGGGGATTCACTGCAAACACTAGTTTGGCTCATTATTGCCAAGATATTGATTTACTTCTTCACATCCATTGCGCAATGCATGCAGTTATTGATAGACAGAAAAATCATGGTATATACTTTCGTGTACCAGCTAAGGCATTACATATGTCTGGTGGAGATCATATTCACTCGGGTATTGTAGTAGGTAAACTTGAAGGGGAAAGAGACATAACTTTGGGTTTTGTTGATTTACTACATGATGATTTTATTGAAAAAGATCAAAGTCGTGGTATTTATTTCACTCAAGATTGGGTCTTTCTACCTAGTGTTTTGCCTATGGCTTCGGGGGGTATTCATGTTTGGCATATGCCTACTTTGACCGAAATCTTTGAAGATGATTCCTTACTACAATTCGGTGCAGGAACTCTAGGGCACCCTTGGGGAAATGCACCTGGTGCCTTTGCTCGCCTACACGTCTTGCTTTACTGCAATATCGGGAGTTACTCCATGTATTGCCTGATGTAAAACAGATAGCGGATTTGTTTCTGTCTTTTGTTGAAACCAAAGACCTTGTTGCTATGAGAATTCTTAATTCATAAGTTACAGGGAGGGGCTTATGTCACCACAAATAGAGACTAAAATAGGTGTTGGATTTGTTTTTGTCTTTTATTAAGAATTCATAAAATGGATCTTTTTTTTTTCTCTCAAAGCCCCGGGGAACAACAACCATAACTATAATGATCCTAAGGCAGCGAAATTCCTTGTCGGGTAAGTTCTGACCCGCACAAAAGGTGTAATGATCTAGGCACTGTCTCGGAGAGAGGTTCGGTGAAATAGACATGTCTGTGAAGATGCAGACTACTTGCACCTGGACAGAAAGACCCTATAAAGCTTCATTGTTCCTTGGGATTGGCTTTGGGCCTTTCTTGCATAACTTGGGGGGGTTTGAGCTATAAGTGAGATACCACTCTAGAAGAGCTAGAATTCTAACCTTGTGTCAGGACCTACGGGCCAAGGGACAGTCTCAGGTAGACAGTTTCTATAGGGCGTAGGGCCCCTAAAAGGTAACGGAGGCGTGCAAAGGTTTCCTCAGGCTAGACAGAGACGGGATGAGGCGATACTTGTGATATTTCAGCTTGGGATGCATTTTATTTGATGATTTTCTAGATGTTAAATACCATTAGATGGGTTACTTTTTATTGCATTGGAAGCACATAACATTATGGCAGGGTAACGTTTCATAGTTTAATGAATCTTCTACTTATTTGATGGGATGGTTAAGAGATTATTTATGGTTAAACTCTTCACAACTTATCAATGGGTATAACCCCTTTGGGATGAATAGTTTATCGATCTGGGTATGGATGTTCTTATTTAGACATCTTATTTGGGCTACTGGATTTATGTTCTTAATTTCCTAGTGCAGATATTGGCAGGAATTTATTGAAATTTTCAGAAAACTCCATTTATTCTAGTGTGGATGTCAGGCAGGTAGGCCTATATTTCTTGGTTTCAATAGGACTCCTTACGAGCGTTCTTTCTATCTATTATTATCTAAAAATAATCAAGTTATTAATGACTGAACAAAACAAAGAAATAACCCCTCACATATGAAATTATTGAGGATCCCCTTTAAGATCAAACAAGTCCATCAAATTGAATATGATTATATGTGTGAAAGCATCTACTATACCAGGAATATTAATGAGCCTGATTATTGAAATTGCTCAAGATACCCTTTTTTAGCTTCTAGAATCTATTTCTTAGTTCAAGATCCCTCTTACTAACTAGAATCAAAGAATTAGTAGATTTGTTCTACCCGAAACGGGAATGGGCTAGGGTACATTGGGTTTTGGAGACCAATGTTCTACAGAACTAAACTAAGAGCGCTTTTTTTTATTACAAGAAAGAAAGCTATAAGTAAAAAGATTCTTTTTTTTTACTCCACTACATCTTGAATGCCTATACTATCTCATATATAAACTATATTATATATAAATATAATAAATAATAATATGATATTCTTTAATATCATATTAATTTATGATTAGGTATGCCCAATTTTAATTTACCTCAATTGATCCCTCGATATTGTATTGCTTAGAGGCAAAGTAATAAGTGGGGATGACAGGATTTGAACCCGTAACATTTTGTACCCAAAACAAATATGCTACTGACACGACCAAAAGATTGTCCCTTGCTGTTTGCTGTCACAACATTGACCATAACTCTTAGTTTTGTTTCTTTGCTAGCTTCTTGGGGCAGATTTAGGTGGTGATCAAGTGGTAAAAACTTATTTCTTTTGTACACTCCCCCCTTGCTGTTTGCTGTCACAACATTGACCATAACTCTTAGTTTTGTTTCTTTGCTAGCTTCTTGGGGCAGTGTACGTTAAAATATAATAAAATTGTGTAATATGTGATATTATCATGTTCAAAATAAAATATTTTTAAAATAATATATATTTTTTGTAAATTTTTTTAAATAAAGTTTTTTTTCCTTTCCTTGTGAATCTGGATTTGTAGATTTAAGGGTGCCGAAAATATATTTTCAAGCTACTCTTCTAGTTATCTAATTAATTGTAAAACATAGTAGCTTATTATATATATTATTCAATATATTAATTCAATAAATATAATTTTAATTCAAATATAAAAATAAATTAAATTGAAATTATATAATTCAAATTTTAAACACAAATAAAAAAATAATTTAATTAATATGACCTGATTGACTCGATGAGTAAAAAAAAATCTGGATTATCAGTATAAATATAATTAGATTAAAAAAAATCAAGATAGATTTTAAAAAATAATAATATTAAAAAGACAATATATTAGATCAATCTAGATAAATCTGGATTAACTTTTTAAATTAATGACTTAGATCATAAGATCGTAATAAATCAAAATAAAATAAATCAAAATAAATTATAAAACTCGATTCTCAATAGATTTATTATTGAATGATTAAATTAAAAAAAATATAGAAAAAAACACAAAAAATAACTTTTCAAAACAAAATTATGAATTTGAATAAAATAACAAAAATATCACTAATAATCTTTAAAGGCTTTTTTAAACTCTAATTGTATCAAAAATTTAATTTGAGATATAATAATATTTCAAGAAATTCCTTATAAAAATTTAATTTGATCTAACTGTTAAATTAAAAGATATGATTGATATCATAAAATTAAATAATATTAAAAAAAATAAAAATAAAAATATTATTTGACCAAAATGAAATAACCAACCGGAATAGAACCTAAATGTTCTAGTTAGAATTATTGAATAGACAAAGATTTGATGTAAGATGAAATCTATTCTGATTTATTATGTTTTTTAAATTGAGACAAGATATACAAACTACTATGGATAGAACAAAACAAAATTAAACCGTGATTGGAACTCAATTTCCACACTAAAATTTTTAAAACTAATAAAATCAAGTGACAGAGTTATTAACATAATTATAAAAAGTTATTAATGTGTTATTGTATGCTTCCCTCCCCGATTCCCCCCTTTTGGTTTTTTTTTTTTGCACATTTTTTTTTAATTATATTTTTTAAGAAACTCAAGACTACTAAAATCAAGTAGTATTGAGCCACCTACAAGAAAATTAAAAAAAAAAAAAACAAGTTATATAATAAAAGGTTTTTGTCATCTTGACAAGAAATCCAGATTCAAGGCTATCAAATCAATAGCTGATTTGGGCCTCAGACAAATCATTACCACTTGATGATTTTTCATTAGTGTGTTGATTAGGAAACATCTGCTCAATCTGCATCATTCCAACGTTAATAGACCCCTTGTTTTCCTTTTGTCTTCTGATCTACTCGAACATTACTTATTTTCAACTGTTTTCCCATCATTAACTGCATCAACGGGAGATTAGATCTCATATAGTTCAATTCCCGTTTTCAACCCACGACCAATATGAGCTCGAAGTTTCCTTCGTAACTCCTGATAATTGGTTGTCTTACATCATCACAAATATCATTAAGGAAGTGAAACTGCTAGATAAACAAAATTCTTTAAACTTCCCATCTTAGCAGTGCATCATGTCTTTACTTGCGTTAAAAAAAAATCAAGAGCATCCAGAAGCAAACTACGAGGTATTCAAAATATCCATGAATTAAATCTTTTCCCTGTAATATCCATCAAATAGCAAATCTATAACTAAAAAACACAGATAAATTTTCATCTAAAATGGTTAGGAATGTACTCCATTAGTCAGTTGTATCAATGTGATCAATTGACACCCCCTTCCCTTCCTTGTACTGAAAAATGGAGCACATTTCTACCAGCTATCGAACACCATATGTTCCTTGCAATTTTTTTCCAGGTGTTCTGCATGTTTTGCATGCCAGGAATTCAGTGTTCAATAAATAATCAAGTAGTATGAATACAAACAATGAGCACTCCGTTTCCTTCTTTACATTATTGTAAAGCCTCAGGCTTGTTAATGTAATTGCCCCATCCCCAAACTCATTCACTGCATTCAATGTGTAGTTAGCACTTCTTTATCCTATATTCTTCCACAAATTTCCCCTTCATTCACAAGAAAGCCAGTCAGTCGCCAATCAAAGCTATCTCGGCTTCTATGCTCATAACCCCCTCTAAAGTGGAACTTATTTTTCTCTCAAGTTCTTCAATTTACATACCATTTGTAGTCGAAAAACAATCGGATTCTGACTGAGAGAAAAGAAGGATCTTACTTGTTTTTCAAGATCTTTTTGTTGCCGACGCCTAATTTGATCTTCAATAGCAAACTCATCAAGTACATCATCTGCATCATAAGCAGCATCCTTAAGCTTTCTCAGCCAATTCTTCACAGCTTCACTCTTCCATTGCTTCTGTTCTGCATCCTGGCGCCCAGCTTGGACTGTAGCTGGTCAGCGTGCTTTCAAGATTCTGAAGCTCAGCATTTAGACCACCAGCAACTCCAAGCTCTTCAAGCGCTAGAGTATTCAAGTTTCCGAAGATTGTATTCACAAGAGTAGAAACAAGTGCATCAGCCATGCTCTCTCCTCGGATTGTCAATCTCCCAAAATAAGAAAAACTCGGAAGGATCTCACTTTCTTTTAATCAGAAGTGAATGCATGTCACCCCGTTTGGGATTGCGGCTCGAGGAGAACCGTTAAAATTTAATTATTTTTTTATGCTATTATATTATTTTGATGTGCTATATTAAAAATTAATTTAAAAAATATGTATGATTGTTATATATTTTTAAATAAAAAATATTTTAAAAAATTATTATTATTATATTTATAAAAAACCAAACAATAAAAATATCGAAGAAAGATTTAGATAGCTTCCACACAGCATTGACTTATAATGGTACCAAAAAAAAATGTTTTATTTATTTATTTAGTACGGTAGAACCTAGCCCAAATGACTAGAATTTCTACTAAAAAAATCCATCCAAGAGCTAATATTAACCCAATTGGCCTAGCCCTTTTATATATTTTTTCGAGTTCTCATGAGTCGATCATATAAATTTTTTACACACAATTTCTTCACACAGAGTATCATTTTTTATATTAATGGCATTACGTGTTACCAATATTCTTATTAATAATACACATCACACTTCGACCAACAAGCAATTATGATTAGCCAATTGCTCTTCCTTGTACAAAAAGCATGGATAGCGGCAACCATTTTTTTTTCTCCAATAAATGACTAACTTCAGCATCAATTTCTCCATTAATAATACAAATATTTTATTTTATAAAAAAATATCTTAGGTGTATAGGCAGGCTACAAAATAAAAATGTGTTTAGAAACACGGTTTAAATCAAGTTTTTAAAAATTTTGAGTGTTTTGTTTAAATTAAAATTGTTTTATGTTTTTAGATTGTTTAATGTATTAATATTAAAAATAATTTTTTTAAAT